TCTAATTTGCTAATTTTCTAATATTTTCTAATTGAACATATAACACACTGAGAATAAACAGTCATAGAAAAGAAAGAATAACCGACCAGGTGATCCTCTTTCCCCCACATAACACCACAGTTTCAATTACACCCACGTCTGTACTGTAAAACAAACAGCTTCAATTCTGCTACAATTCTGTTCACTCCAAATCCAGACAAAAACCCTGACGGGCAAAATTTCTGGATGACCCCCATCCTTTCCTTTTGGGACGTAAAAACCCCAATGATAACGAATGCTGGGGAAAACAGTCTTCTTTTTGGGCAATCACCAACAAGGCTTGCAGTGAGCCTGATTGTAGGAACCAGACGTAGTGTAAATCCTGAAACTGAATTCAAAATATAACATAACTGTAACACAAGACATTTGTAATGTAACTAAACTACTTGTATAAAAGCTCTAGCCAAAAATCGTCTACTAAGAGATGAGCTGAGAATATGAAAATACTCAGTGACAATTAAGTAGTGAATATATAAATGACAAGATACTAACTGCTAAGATAACTAACTGCTATGCATGAATTGTGTACAGTATGAATATGTAAAAATATAATGTTCAAGTCCATTGTCCTTTGATCAGTTCAGTTCCTTGCAGCTTCACTCTGTCACCACTCGCTTTCTTCCATCCTCACCAGCTGCAATGTCTCTCTCTCTTGACTTCTCGACTACATCACTGACCTCAGTACCTCTGACTTGCACTCCCTCCTCATGAGGGTCAGATAGATGAGAACACAGCTGGGCCAGTATTGTCATCAAGGTGAGCATCAGCTTCACTTAAACTCCCTCCTCATCCAAGGAATCCCTTGGATCACATCTTCTCCTTATTGAATCCAGATCAGCCCAAAGCCATCGCTGTCCTTGGGGACGTTCACACCATGTACGGGCCTCCTTCGCAAAGAGGGTCTCTCCTCCTCCGGGGCACCATCACGTACACGACATCTCCTGCGCTCACTTTGGGCTCTCCATCCTGTTGGGCCTCTTTGTACTGCAAAGAGGAAACATAAACTACACAGACCACACAGGAGCAAATACTCCTGCACATAGTCTATATTAGACATGACTAGTCTAATATAAAATCTCATTTCCTTATCAGGATGTCAAAACTTGTATTAACATTACAAAGTAGCACTCTATAGACTACATTTAAATCTCTTTATTGTTTATTGTTACTGAGTTAAAGAGTTCAATATCAGGACTTTGAGATCCTAGTAAAAATGACATGTGACCTTCACACGGTAAAGAAAAAACAATCTGGTATCTGTGGTGTCACATTACAGTTCCTCCTGACTGCCCCAACCTGTTTAAAGAAACTAGGACCCACTCAGTTTTCATCATCACTAACCCAGCAGAACAGAAGAACACATATGGCAAATGTGTAAACACGTTGTCATTGGATTGACACATTTTCACACTTCTTTGCAAAACAGCCAACGCGGATGTCATTCAAGCAGTCCAAACTTCATTGTTCTAGCTATGGTAACCAAAGAGAAACCATCTATTCCTAACTATTAGAAACTACCAAGATCAGTGTAGAATCACTAAATCTCCTGTTTGACACTGCTTCACACAAATCTTCACTTAGCAATCAGTCTGTGGGCCTGATAAAAGGGGCCAGGTTCTTGTTGTTTTTTCTTTTTGCCAGCCTGGATGGAGGAGGTCTAAGGCAAATGACAGTGAGGGTAAGAGGTAGAGGAGTCCGGGGGTGATGTGAAGGTGTAGTTGGAAGGGCTCAAGTTTCAGTTGAAATTCGGGCAGCTATTATCGATCATGTTATAGTTTGAGGCTGTTGAATTGGGAGCTAGGAACCTTAGTTAGGCATCTTGGGGCGGGAACATGTTTGGGGGACACTGTTTCCGAGGGCTTCTGAGCTGTCTGTTTGTCACACGAGTGTTCACAGTGTACTGTTGTGCAGTTACTCAGTAAAGAGTTGAAACACACAAGCGTGCTGGAGTTTGTACCACCTCAAGATATAACACTGGCGACGAGGATAAAGAAGACCGAGTGAGTTGTGTTATACATTGATAGGTCGAAGAAGAAGTGTGCGAGTAGTTTTGGCTATGGCTATGGTCGGTTCGCTTAGTGAATTTCTGGAGTCGGAGAGCGACTGGATTTGTGGATATGTGGAAAGACTGGAGCATTTTTTCCTAGCCAATGACATTACCGACGGTGATAAGAAACGCTCCATCCTCCTTAGTGTGTGCGGGGCGAAAACGTATAGACTCATACGTAATCTGGCCACGCCGCGGAGACCGGGAGAGATCGAATTCCAGGACCTGGTTAACATGGTGCAGAATCACCACAACCCGAAGCCTTCTGTGATTGTTCAGCGTTTCAAGTTTCATTCACACTCCCGCAAGCATGGAGTTTCAGTAGCGGAGTTTGTGGCGGAGCTCAGACAGCTGTCGGAACACTGTGCATTCGGAGCCACGTTGGACGACATGCTACGGGACAGGTTAGTCTGTGGCATAAACAATGATGGAATGCAGCGCCGATTGCTGGCGGAAACCGCACTCACGTTCAAGAAAGCTCTAGAGATCGCTCAGGCGGTGGAAACTGCAGCTAACAACACAAAAGATATTCAACAAGCGAATGGCAGTGGGCAGGCGAGAGCGCTTCATCGGATGTCTGCGGAGAAACACGGCAAGCCAGTTAAGTCTGTGGAGTGTTATAGATGTGGAGGTCTACATTTTGCTAGTGACTGTGGGTTTAAAGAGGCAACATGTCATGCGTGTCACAAAAAGGGACACATTGCCAAGAAATGTAGAGGGGCTAAAAATCAGAAAAAAAGGTAGTGGTAAACCTAAGCCCGCAAATAGAACACATCATCTGCAGGTGGAGGAGAGTGAGGAGCACATTTCCTTCAATATGTTTAATCTGGCTGACCAGAGTGAAGAGCGTGCAGAGCCCATTTGTGCCACACTGCAAATAAATGGTAAACAGTTGAAAATGGAGGTAGATACAGG